AAAAAAAAAAAAAAAAAAAAAAAAAAAAAAAAAAAAAAAAAAAAAAAAAAAAAAAACGGTCAAAGTCAGAGGAGCAAAAGGGGCAATTCTCCCCTCAACCCATTATAGGGGTCTTGAGGATTTTCCACCGATTACCTGCAAAAGAGAAAAGAGAAAAGAGAAAGAAAGAAAGTTGAGAGAAAAACTTGAGAGGAGAAAAGTAACCAGCTGGACTTCTCATCAGAAAAACCATCATCGAAGTTCACTCTCAACCAAAACTTACATGCAGGAACTTCTTCTTGAAGAAAAGGACGACTCGTGTAGTCGAGGTTTCGTCTTCTGTGAAGATCCGAGAGAAATCTGCAAAGTAAGATCTCATATGTTCCTCTTCAGACCTGAGATCTTCCTTTGTGAATAGAATGCTAAAGTTTGATATCCTTCATCTAGGGAAGATCGCCATTGATTTCACGAAGAAAATAGGCTGGAAACATTGATATCTAATAATTCTTCCAAGAACGGTAAGGGTGCTAACGGACCTCCTTCCAAGACACATAATTCGTCGTATGGTTAAGCAAAAATCAAGAAAAAATACTAGCACATAGTTTGTAGTACGATCTAAAACTTTGATGAAGAAATCATTTCAGTTTGCATTAAAAATCGGGAGATAAAAAAATGAGAAGAAAGTTCGAAATCTCATTTTTATGTTAGGAGGAGAGACACAGTTCCACGTGTCAACCAGCGAGAGGTTTTTCGTGCACCGATAGCCACCAGACATGCGTCGAATGCTACCTGGAACGACGCAGTTCCTTTCTTCCAGCGACATGCGTCCGCGGCAGCGCCAACCTGACCCGCATTCCTCAGCAAACCTGGTACCCACGCGGCCCAACTAAACGACCTTACCCGAACCGAATCGACGACTCGCAACTGTAGAAAAGTGCGCTCATGGCACTCGCGATCCACCTGCGAGTGGGCTTATCTCGGCGCGTGGCTAGCGCGTGTAAGCATGTTTCGGCCCGTTCGACTTTTGTTTGCCTGATTTTCAACCCAATTCCTATTCTGACCCAATTTTTATGTGATTTAGAATCTAGTTGGGCAAAATCAGTATTTTTGGACACTCTACTCGCTTAGGAACACTAACAAAAGGGCACGCATCATCCATGTAACTCACCACACGATATTTAGGAAGAGATACTTGTAGGAATCGCTTGGTTTGCATGCATGCTAGTATATTTTCCTTTGATGTAGCTTTCGTGGAATGCGTTTATGTAAGTCAATTAATATAAGTATGAATGTATCATGCGATCATTACGTGAACTGTCTGAGTGTGCAAATATGTTTAAGTTTGTGTAGTTTGCTCCTCTGACCATAACATTTCCACCATTTACTTTGATCCCATAATATACACTTGATTGTCTTCTTTTCAAACTTGCTATGTAGATGACTAGACATACATACTAAACGTAGCCAAATATTATCTCAAATGGTGAGATGAAACCTAATCTTTGTTGGGAAGCTTGTTGATCACATGGGTACCATTTCACATCGCTTCAACCCAAAATCTTCTTGAAACATCATTCGCATGTACCATGTTTCAATAAATCAGTACAAGATGTCGATTTTTTTCTCTATGCTACACCATTTTGTTGTGGCGTGTTGGTACATGTAAACTAATGACGTATCCCAAACTTATGTAAATATTGATCAAACACAAATGAAGTGTATTCTCCATAAGTGTAACGAATCAGTACAAACAATTTTTTTAAAAAAACGCGAGGTCGCCGGTGGACGCAAAAATTCCGACAACTGCTAGAATTTTTGGATCCCACCCTACCACGCAAAAATTCCGACAAATCGCCGAGGTTTTGATTTTTGTGGATAAATAAATCCCAGTACACCAATTCCCTTAAAATTGAAAACACAACTTCCAATTCAACATGCTTTTGGGGGGGTTTGTTGGGTTTGTTCATAAGATGCTTAACTTTCTTCCATCCCCAACAGCTCATTAAGCTTCCCACAACACCCTTCTTAATTCTTTCAATTCTTTTTATTCAAAGAAAAAGAGAAAAAAAATGGTGAATTCGTTGCACTGAAACCATCAAATATTTCTCAAAGCCGGTGAACCACTTCCCCTCCTTCAAATCACTCCTTTTATGCATTTTACTTTCATTATTTAAATCCCAACTTTCTCCATTATTATCTTTGGAAAGTTTTCTTTATAATTTTTAAATACTATTTCTTTTCTCTCTACCTTCTTCCCTACCTTTCTAAACATAGATATTAAATTTCAAATTTGTGTTATTAATTCAGCATTTTGATAACTATAAAGAAACCCCGTGAGTTCTTTATTTTATATATGTAATCAACAAGGAAGAAGCCAAGAACAAGAGTTTATAATCAACAAAAGAAGAAAAACAACTCCCATGGCTGCGATCCTTCCGCCATGCTTATTTCTTCTCATTTCCATCATTCCTCTTTCTTCTGCTCACTCCTCTCCTCAGAATATCCAAACTTCTTATCCTTTTCCACCGCCATTCCATTTCCCCACCATCAATAATACTACGGACAATCTCTCCATCTCCCGGAGAAGGTCGCCGCCGCCGCCACCACATCCACCACTTCAAGAACCGAAGAGGATGACGAAACCAAAGCCGAAGCTCAAGAAAGGCACCATTATAGCGGTGGCGGTTTCTACTTTAGCGGCTACCCTCCTGCTTTCTCTGGGTCTCCTCTTTTACATTAGAGGACGCATTCTTGCAAAACTCAAGGAACATCAAGTAGAATCTAAAGAACTTACAAGATTTGATGGAAAGCTTAATGGATTGATTGTTGAAGAAGATGGTCTGGATGTGATGTATTGGAAGAACAATGAAGAAAATGAAGAAATGGTTTTTGCAAGAGATGGATCAATCATCCCTGAGATTGTGCAAGAAACTCCTTTGCTCCATGGAATTTCTTCAATGAAAGCTCGTGATCGGTCTCTCTCTAGTGTACGAGTATTGCCATTGCTGCCTCTACCTCCATCAATGCCCCTACCGCCCCCACCATCAACGGCAGTTGCCAATTCAAGGTCATCTTTGAAGCCATTACATTGGGATAAGATCAATACCAATGTAGATCATCCTATGGTGTGGGACAAGATGGATGGCGGTTCTTTCAGGTAAAACCCATCATCATAATTCAATTTGGCTCTCTTCTTTGCGTTTTCCACTACGATCTGATCTTTTTTTTCTTCAGCTTTAATGGCAATCTTATGGAAGCTCTGTTCGGGTATGTAGCCACAACCAAGAAATCGCCAATAGAGCAGAGTGGCCTCAGCAATGGAGGACGAGGGCCCATCTCAATTCTTGATTCACGAAGGGCAAGAAACATTGCCATGATACTTAAATCCTTGAACATAACTCGACAAGAACTTCTTGATGCTCTCACGGAGGGACATGGCCTCGATTCAGATACACTCGAGAAGCTTGTCAAGATCACTCCAACAAAAGAACAACAGTCCCAAATCCTTGAATTTGATGACGATCCATTAAGGCTTGGCGATGCAGAATCCTTCATTTTTCATCTTCTCAAGGCTTTTCCAACGGCCTTCAATCGTCTAAATGCCATGTTTTTCAAATCAAGCTTCAAATCAGAGTTGAATCGACTCGAGGACTTTTCACAAACACTTAGTAGGGGTTGCAAAGAATTGAAGGAGAAAGGGATATTTACAAAACTATTAGAAGCAACTCTCAAATCTGAAAACCGATTGAATTCAGGAACAGTGAGAGGTAATGTAGAAGCTTTCAATCTCAATTCACTCTTAAGAATTTTAAATGTAAAAAGCACGGACATAAAAACCACATTGCTTCATTTCATTGTCAAAGAAGTCATAAAATCGGAAGGGAAAAAACGATTCTCAAACACAGATTCAAAGAGCCTCAAATCAGAAAAAGAAATAGAAACCGAATACGTAATACTTGGATTACCATCTATGGAATCACTCGCCTCAGAGCTCTCAAACGTCAAGAAAGCATCCACAATTGACTACGAAGCCTTCATTATCAGTTGCCCTAATCTGTTAATCAAAATCTCAGAGATACAAAACCTTATATCCATGGAAGGCGGTGAATACAAGAGAAAGATGTTGGAATTTGTAAAATCCGCAACGGAAGAAGTTGAAATAGCAAGAAGAGAACAAAGAAGGGTGTTGGAGGAATTGGAGAAGGCTAATGAATACTATGAAATAGGGGATAGAGAAAATCCTTTGGGGCTTTTTGTGATAGTGAGAGATTTTGTGAACACCGTGAATCAGGTGTGTGATGAAATAGCTGGGGAGTTGAGGGGGAAGATGAAGATGAGAAATATGGATGCATGTCTGCCATTGAAGAGCACAATGAGATTGAGATTTCCACATTTGGCGGAGCATTTCAAGTGTAGAAGCTTTTCTAGTGATTCCACGGATTAGCTTTCTGAATTGGTGGATTCTCCCACAAATTTTCTTCTTCTTTTGTATTTGCTCTTGAAAAGATTAAGTGTACAAATTATCTTATAAGGAATTACACATTTTTGTGAATAGAGTTAATAGATTACATGGCTTTATCAAATCCGAGTCCTCTCATACATGCAAGTCTGTTTATCCATCTCACTCCTATTCCATGAATGTAAGGCGGAAGCATCCTCTAATGAAGCATGGGTCTTAAGTGGGTGATGGGTCTTAAGTGGGTGATGGGCTTAAGTGGGTGACATCACATTCCTCAATACTAGGTACACTCTCACCCTACAAGGTAAGCTCATGATTAGGGGTAAATTAGAAAATGTTGCCAATTCAAATGAATCAGCCATGCCATCGTCATCTACCTTTAGCTAGAAACGATGACAGGCACTCGTGATCTTCAATGTGCGAAAGTCATACATTTACCTGTTGTTTCTTCATCTAAATAGTAGATCTATCATTTGCAAAGGTATAAGGTTAAATTTCAAAGTGATTTGGGAGGTTATGGATCAAGGAAGAAGGCTAATCACCAACCAAATTTCCAGAAAACATGCGACTTCCTTCTCTTAGGTTTAGGATTTTCAGACATAAAATCTCAGCAAATATGGGTTTAGAATCTATTAGTATAGGTCTTAAGTCTCCACGGTCCCAAATTTTTTCTCAAACCTATTAATTTCTTGGTTCTTTTACAATACAAATGTGAATCTATTGGACAAGGAATTCTAGATCGTTTCAACCTCCGAGTTCTTCACCAAAATTTTCCATTTCTTCACTACGAAAATGTATGAATTTATTTCTCCATTTACGTTAAAGGGTCAAAATTCTTATTCGATAGAATACTTTTAAAAATTCACCATGATTTAATGAAAAATATCCCTTATGAGTGCAAAAAAGTGATTGGTAGAAAAAACCCTCAATTTCAAATTTCTTACGATGGCTATTCTCACTGAGATCAAGTTCTAGGAGTTTTATTCTTTCATCAAACTTGTAGTCCTTCCTAGATAAAATTTTTACAAAATTCAAGAACATTTATCCAATAAATTTTTAACTCCTCGTCATTCGCTCCTTCCTTTCTAAATCGGTCAAAATAATAAAATAAAATAATCAATTTTATTAAACCTACCTGAACCCGCCAAAGAAATTTGAGAAGGTAGTTAATTAGAAAAGCTTTTTATGGATTGACGTGCTTGCTTCCGTACCATTGTTAAATTTCTTACTCAAAGTGGTTATTCAGTTGCACATGCAAACTCATTGCTTGTTCATCCAAGAAAGAGAAGGAAAATTGGCAATTATGTTGGTGGATGTGGACGACTAAAGAGAAATCCATCAAACAAGAGAAAATCTATTGGTGCGCTTTCGATTTCAGTTGAAAGAACTAGGAGAGCTTAAACACTTATTGGGCATAGAAATTGATTGCACAAATGAAGAATTTTTTTCTGCCAACAAAAGTATATAATAAATATGCTTCAGAAGTTCAGCATGCTAGAGCGCAAGAAAGTCTCAACATCGACGGAGCCAAATGCCAAGATCTATGCATAGGAAGACAAAATGTTGAACGAGGGGAATGATATACCAACAACTAGTAGGTAGCCTTATCTACCTAACTTTAACTCAACTGGCATGTAGTAGGAGTTATGAGTCGATACATGAAAAATTCGAAAAAGTCTCATTTAGATGCGACTTGACGGATCCTGACTCCAATTAGTTTATTTGGATGCATGTTGTCACAGTTGTACTTTTTGAACCATACGACATTATGATTTTTGCACACGGAAGACAAACCTTAAATGAGAATTCAAGCTTTGTTTCCATTTTTTGTCTGGCTTTATGGCTTTGCAAACCTTAGGTGAGGTTTTTCTTTGCCAACTAAACACATGCAGAATCTAAGCTTGTTCAGCCAGACACGTCGTCTGTGTATGCATGTTCAATTGTCTGCAACTTTAGCCGACTTGCCATGTCTCTAGACCAGGTCCCTAGACTCGACCTTGCTTTTACTCTAGGCCAAGGTCTCTCATGTGCGACGTTATATCTCGTCTTGTTTTTTTTGGTTCCAAATAATATGACCTACATATCAAGATGTCATCCCAAATCTCGTGGTATCATTGACCATCATAGCTTGTTCAGACATGTCTACTTGAAAACCAACCCCGTGAGTCAACTATATCGTCGAGGCATTCCGAATATCTATCCATCCAGGTTCTATCACGGCATGAACTCTCCTGTTTTTCATTTTGAGTCATTTACGGATACTGTACCAAATTGGAGGTGCATATATCAACCTCTGACACATAGGTTGGGGGCGCAATGTCGGCACATTCATGTCGTCTGACACTATCCTTAAAAAAAAATCATTTCAAGGCGATGCCCAAGACATTTGTCTTGCAATGCTTGCCCACACAGTGACATACGTATGTGCTACCGAGTAACGGTGGTAGAAAGCTAACTCAGTATGGTAGGAGTAGACATAATTTTGGAGAACAATCATATGGCCTCGTAGAGCATGCGTTGGATGTCTAATTGACACCAAATTTGGCGAACATTTATATTTCATATAAACAGACTTAACTCCAAAGTCGTATGATAAAACTCATACCAAAACTTCAATTTCTAAGGTTAAGGCTCGGGGCCATATTCAGCCCTTATCAAGCCAATTCTTGACATTCTTGTCTACTTGTTGTCTTCATCTAACTTATGTCTTACCTTGGCTTCAATGCACACTTTCAATGGTGTGTTGGATGATGCACCGTCCTCCTCGATCACATCATGAAACTTGTCTTTCTTATTCCTCAAGTGGCCGAATGGCCCCCACTTGAAGGTAGTTCCCTTGTCTGTCTGCATGTGAGCGTCATAACTTATTCTATTCTTAGTATGGTTGTGACACGTGGCATACCCAGCTTTAGATCCTTCGGTTTGAGGTCGACAACATGCAATTGGTCCATTCCAAAATCATGTTATTAATTTGACAAAGAAAAATAAAATGAAGCCATTTAATGAGATAAGTGCATAAATAGTAATATGAAGAGATTTGATGCGTTTAATTATTAGATAATAATTATGTAACGACGCTACTCTCTCTTTAATATAAGATTGTCATTGTTTTCCTGTAAAAGTTGCTATGGAATAAAATGTTCATAAATTTATTGCAAATATAATAATAACATAATTAAAATAGAAAATATAAACTCCCACATTAAAGTTTAGAAATAAGAAATAACAAATATGCAATGGATCTATCCTAACATAAAGATTGACCTAAATGCAAAAACTAACTAAAGTTACTTGATTCATAGCCTCCTCCTAGATGTCCTAGCAACTAGGAAACACGAGGAGTAACTCCGAGCAACCAGGAAATGCGAGATGTGACGTAATCCAGTTTGACACCTAGAACTTAATAAATCTTCATGGCACCCAAGGTGAAATACAAAACTTATTAGATCAATGGTGACGTAAACAGAACTATTTGAAGAGTTATTGTGCGTAGGATATAACCCACCCTGATAGAAGACAAGGAACTACATAAATATTGACCCGAAACTAACTATATGTAGGGTATAACCCACCTTCAAAGGGGATGAGGGGCTACACGAGTAGTTGATATAAGAAGTATGTATGATAACCTTCCTTGAGAGGCGACAAGGGACTATATAAGTAAGTAATACGAGGAAATATTGTTGTGTATAATAACTTGTCTTGAAAGGGGACGAGGGACTGCATAAGTAATATATAGCTACTATTGTGTGTGGAGGAAACCCACTTTGAGAGACGAGGGACTACACATATAGTTCAACTTATGATAAGGCGCCGCTATGATGTGCAGTTCAGAAGATACCTGCACAAGGGTCAAACTTCTTAGAGCCCTATGATAAGCTGGTTGAAACTTATTAGGTTAAGGATGCGATGAGAGCCTAAAGGTAGATTTCTTACTAAGTATTTTTAGACTCACCTCTTTACCTCTTTTTTTAGGTACCGATCGAGGTGGAGAGATGCTCGGGAGCTAAATCGTCACAAAGGGGTGTCGACCCAAGACGTCAATGTCAATTTGTGGTCCTTTATTTCAGGTTATGATTTGTATTCTTTTGCTTCCTTGCACCCGTACCCTGTTTGTAAATTACTTTTATTTTATTTGTTTTTACTTTCGTCTTTTTGTCGCTGTCTGATTTCTCGAATTCTCGAACCCTTCAAAAGAACGTTTTGTTCATTTGTCAAGTTTGTCGATTTTAAATTTGAGAAAAATATATGAAATATAATATGTACCAATGATCCTTTATATCCCTCGAAACCAAAAAACCGACGGAAGATGAAGATATTTTACCAAACGAAACCATGAAAACCCTTGTCGTTACGTTAACAAAGAAAACCACAAATGATGAAGACGATACTCGCTAGAGAAATGACAAAATCTTGCTCGCCATTACAATCTCAACGGTCGTCACACTCCCTTTTGTTGTCGTTGCTCCAACATACCCTAAATTTTGAATGATGATTTAAGGTTATTAAGAATAGATCTCTAGGCGAATAGTGGTAAGCCTTGAATATGATCGATTTGATAGAATTGGACGTGCTATTCCTATAGTTAACCTTAAATAAATCTTAAACAAAATCGATCAAAAATAAGAACCCATCTACTTATAACATGACTGCTTTTAAAAATCTTGTTTAGCAACAATTTCATTTTCATGGTTGAGAGTAGAATTATTTGGAAGGATCTATCAGATAATATATTAGCATAGAAAATAACGTATCATATCCGACACAAACATTGGCATATCATCAGACACTCAATCTCTGATTGGGTGAAGAATCCAATGTTGTTGGCATAAAAAGCTTACTTACAACACACAACCGACAAGTTCAAATGTTGTCGTCTTATTACACTAAATCCTAAACCAATCTGTCTTATGTGGTTTTCTCTAAGCCAAACTCTAATCCATCTTATCCATCAAAATCTCAAACTTGTAATGATTGTGCCTATCTACTTATCATTAACCAA